AACTGAGAGATAAGTTATCGATTTATACTACGTAGTAAATTCGGCAATTGAATAAAATATAGACTTACACTTTTATTATTGTTACGGTCATTAATTGAATTTATAAGTGATTTAATACATTTAGTTGAAGTTTATTTTGATTCACCTAGATATACTAATTTGACTTGACTAGATATGATTGATTTGAATTCAAGAAAGATAAATTAATTAAATAAGTGAATTTGACCAATTAAAAGTTTAGCAATTGAACTTGAGAGACAAGATTAAAGAAGATAAATACGGTCAAATTGTGAGTCCTAACACTTTTTACACGTAAGTTTAAAAAATCTAATTTCTACTTGTACATATTTAATTTTTTTCACAGACTTATAATATTCAGGGTAATAATTATAATCATTCTTAATTTTTACTAAAATAGAAATTAAGAATAGTTAAACCGATAGTTAGATATGTAGTGTTTGTGGGAAAGATAATCCGAACTCTTACGATCACTTTATTACTTGTTAATCAATAGATACAGCTCACAAAACAAATTTTTGGTGTCACTGTCGGGATTATTCATATATAATATTTGTTTAAATTATTTCTTGCTTTTGGTTATTTTTTATTTGTTCTTTTCATTTTTTTTTTCTTTTCATCTGATCTACTTCTTTTTTGTTTCCATTGTCGGTTAGGGAATGACAAGTTGCAAAGGACCAGCAACAATATGAGATGAGAAGTCCCAACATTGATTATGTGATGATATGCTTGTGGGAGATCTCTTCGTCATGCAATGATTTCACATGACGGGAGATGATCGACATGCTACAATTAATGACAATCAGTTTCATAGGATTGATTCTCCTAAAATAAAAAAATTGACGAGGGTCACTTGCCTGTGTGATTCGCCTATGTGATTCCTATTCCCATACATTGCGCTACTAAAGAAATAGATAAACTTCTGGTGAAAGCCCAAGTGTAGGCTGAGAATACTAGCCATTGAATCTGACATGTGAAAACTGTGAGACAGGGTATTACACTGAAAATTGCTTGTTATTGACTACTCTAGATGAACTGAATAAATTTTCACAAGATTAACTTGCATGTAGTACAACCCATAATCGCAAACATACAATTCAGGATAGAAGAAGCACTCAAATTTCCATTGGCTAGTATTCATAGTTGAGTTCGAGTCTAGTGGTGTATGTTGACCTATGGTTGATCTTATATTTTGATTATGACAAACAAAGTAGTTTTATCTCTAAAATTTGTATTCAAGTATTCATTGTTACATGCTGATCAAATTGGAGACAAAACAATTGTTATCAAAGAACTTGCAGTTGACGATCAAGAAAATTCAAGATAGATTCGAGGTTTCACAATCGGAGACAAATTGAGCACTCATGCTAAATCAATCGAAAATATTAGAACTAGATGTTTGAGCTCATTCGTAAATGTAAAATACTTTAATCCTCAACAATGACTCATTAGAAGCTCAAGTAACAAAATTTTTAAGCACAGGAAAAATTTACTTCGTAAAAAGTTTGCATAAAATTTATTTTTCAAAGGTAAGAATTTTCTTTTAATTTTCAAACCTACTAGCATCATTTACCTTCAAAAATCAAGTAAAGAGGTAATTTATAAGCCTAAATTGTTTCAAACAATCAAATGAGAGGAGCCAGAAAATTTCGGTCCATCCGAACATTAGGATGATGAAACGGACGTTCGGCTCATCCACAACGGTCGATTTTTCTACCGTTCTAACTTTTGATGAGCAATGGCTAAATCAGTCATTCGGAACAGTACCAATGAGGCAAAATGGATGGGAAAGAGGCTCAAGAGCACGATGAGGCAATCTTATCTACCATCCTTCGACGAGGAGTTCGATTTGGAACCCGAGGTGCCGGCCAACCCATTTGAAAAGTTTTCAATCTTAATAGGTAAAAATGTTGATTTTACAGATTTTACTATTGAAGCTCCTGCATTTTATTCAAAAGAACTTTTTGAAAACATGGGTTGAATTTCAATTGTCACTTTAGAAGAATATGCATACCCATGACTCACGAGGGAATTTTATAAAAACATGGCTGTTACTTCCCGTTCCAGTGACATTTCACGTTTAATTAAAAATAAATGCATTGTCATCAACAAATCTCTTAACACTAGTAGAAAAATGGGCTTTTACAACAATTAAAAGGCAACATTCATTCATTAAATGTTGCTAAAGGGGGGTCTATTACAACGTTTGGATGAGTAAATATTGCTAAAGGGGCCTATAGCAATGTTTTTTAAATGAATATTGCAAAAAGTGACTTTTCGCAACGTTTTTTAAACATTGCGTTGCAAAAAATCTCACTCTTAGCAATGTTTTTTTAACGTTGCGAAAAGTCTCACTTTTAGCAACGTTTTTCGCAAATAACTTATTGCAACGTTTTTTAAATGTCGCAAAAAGTGACATCTCGCAACGTTTTATAGACGTTGTTAAAGATGAGACTTTTCGCTCTTTGCAACATTTAAAAAAATGTTGGAATACATTATTTTTCGCAACATTTTTTAAACGTTGCTAAAAGTGAACGTTAAAAAGACGTTGCGAAAAGAGAAGCCCATTATTTAGCCCAATCAACGTTAGCCCTAATCTCGTCTCCGCCCCTCTTTTCTCCCTCTTTCCTCCCTCTTTCGTTAAAATCCACCATTTTCTTCCGCTAAATCCCCACCTAAGCATCTCCAGTCGACTGGCTCTGCACGTTACACTGTCACTTTGTGACTAAGAAATCAAGAAAGAGAAAAATGGCAGAGAGAGGAGTCAAAGAAATGGTAGATGAGGAGTTTTCCGTGTGGAAGAACACACCATTACTCTATGACCTCGTCATCTGCCATGCGCTCGAGTGGCCATCTCTCACCATCCAGTAGCTCCCATCGAATTATGGTCCTCTCGCTGGTCACAAATTGATACTGGGGACCTATACCTCTGATGAATTTCAGAATTTTCTCACGGTTACCCACATCCACGTCCCCCACCGTACCATTGAAATGGAACCCGATAATTCCAACAGTCCGAAGTTCAGTAATTGTTTTCTTCAACACACTCATCACCATATGTTCATTTGTAATAGTGCGTGTAGTATTCTTTTTGGGGCTTACTCGTATCTGCATGAAGTGTTTGATGAAATTACCGAATGAAATGACGTTTCTTTTTTGTTGAGGTTTTTTGTTGAGGTTTTCTTATGGTATTTGCATACCATGTGTTTGATGATATGCTCAACTGAATTTGTTCTTTGATTGCAGTTTGTAGAGAATCAGATATTTCATTGAAATAAAAGTTGCAAACTGAATTGCCTGGACTAGTGATATTGAAATTCAACCTATTTATACATTGAAATAAAAGTTGCAACTGGATTGGAGGTGTTTGTGGCTGTTTCGAGTATTGTCTTTAGTTCCTTACCCATCAGCTTTTGCCGGTTCAATTGGTTTCAATATCCAGGATTATTCTAGTATTAATAGATTGTCGATTTTTTCCATTTGCTAATAAGTTGAAACATGTCTTTGATTGACATGTTAGTCAGATTACAGCAGGTTTTTTTTTGATAAAAACATGAAATTAATTCTTTCTAGATATTGTGCAATATAGTTGATTTCAGTTGATCTTTGGTTGTGGAAACCTGAAATTAGTAGTGGGCGTTGTTATGTTACACAATGTGACAGTAGGTTTTTTCTTGATAAAAAAATGAAATTAATTCTTTCTAGATATTGTGCAATATAGTTGATTTCAGTTGACCTTTGGTTGTGGAAACCTGACTATATTGTTGCTTTGGAATTCTTTGGAATAGTGAAGAGTCCTAACTATATTGTTCCTTTAGCCAAGTGAAGAGTCCTAACTCCTAAATTCGCAACTCCTCTAAAATCCGACCCGTTTATACTCGTTCACTCTTCAATCTTGATCCAGACAACGAGGCTTCTTCAACAATGATATCGTAAATTAGGTAACAATAATGTATACATTTGAAGTTAAAAATTGCTTGAATTTTTTGTTGATTTTTTTTTTTAGTCCATTAGTTACTCTATCTGTTTAATTGATATTTGTTTAATAACGAAAATTTCAATAGGAGACTGGGGCAGGCTACCTCTTCTGTGCTTCAGTTATAACATTTTTATGTTATGTTGAATAACTTGGTTTCTACTTACGCATAACAAAGTTTAAGATTGGCTAAACAATCTGAGTGTGTGTTATTGGGAATTTTTTTTTCTGTTGGCCGGGGATAAACTTCAGTTAGGAATATTCATACAACAAAAGTAGGGATATACACATAAGGGAGGGGTTTCAAACTAACATGAATTAGTTTGCTTCTTTCTTCCAACACTCATTCTTTTGAGCAGAATCTTGAATGTTAATTAAATACTTCATTTAGTAGTGTGATTTCTTTCAGTTTCTGGCTAAAGGAACAAAGTGAAGAGTGAAGAATCCTTTGGAATAGTGAAGAAATCCAGGTGAGTAATAGTGAAGAGTCCTAACTATATTGTTGCTTTGGAATCTTTTGGTTTGCAAATTCAATATATTGCTGTGCAAGAGGCTCTTGTTTAGAGCTGGCCATCAGTAATTGTTCATTGTTTGTAGCCCACTAATCTTCCAATTATTACTTACCACTGTACATGTTGAAACTCTTAGGTGATGATCTAAGAACCTTTATCTTCAATCTTCTTTTATTTCCACTGAAGTATAATGTCCACTTGTTTACTACTTCTACTTGATTTCTTATGATTTCGACTTTTCCAGGAATTACTTGTTATGCCTTTCTTTTTGCATGTAGTGACTCTTAACATATGATAAATTATAAATGACCGATGCAGTTCATGGTTGAGTTGGGGCAAAGATCTTCGAGACTAGCCATTGGAACACCAATAAAGAAGTTAATGGCAGAATAAATGTCAAAAGAAACTGATGTTAAAAAACGCTCGTCAAGTGTTATTGCCAGAGTCTGCCGTTGTTTGTCCAAAATTTTATTCCTAATTTTATTCCATTTTGAAACTCCTTTTTATTTAGGTGATGTTGTATTAGATTTTAATGTTCAAGTGTATGGATTCAAAAATTTGTAATGAAATTATCAATTTTTATGCAATTCTAAAATTTGTTCAAAAGGAGTATTTTTAATTTTGTCGATAAATTTTCATAAATTGTTTATAATAAAAAAAACTGTAATGTCACCTAAACGTTCCAAAAATCTACGGCAATGCTTAAAAAATGTTGCCAAAGACCTTTGGCAATGTTTGTTTAAACATTGCCAGAGGGTCCAAAACGTTGCCAAAAATCTACGGCAATGTTTAAAAAATGTTGCCAAAGACCTTTGGCAATGTTTGTTTAAACATTGCCAGATGGGACCCTTTGACAACATTTTTTAAACGTTGTCGTAGGCCTACGGCAATGGTTTTTAAACGTTGCCAAAGACCTACGGCAACGTTTAAAAAACGTTACAAATGACTTTCAACAACGTTTTTTAAATGTTGCAAAAACGAAACGGTAACATTTGTATTTAGTTTTTGCAGCAGTATATGAACGTTGTCGTATCCTTATGGTCTATGGCAACATTGAAGCCCGCAACATATGCAAAAAACGTTGCAAAAAGGTTTAAGCAACGTTTTTTAAACATTGCAAAAGCTGAATTTTGTTGTAGTGTAAACGTGACATTTTAGAACTTGATGTGTGTGAAACGCAAATTTTTCATTACAAGACACATTTCACTTTAGATGGCTATGACCCTACCAAGGCTTATCATGGAATCACTAGGAAAAAAATTGAAAATATCACGAAAGTTGGTGTGAATCTATTGACTATTCCATACAAAGTTTTACAAAATATCATTGCAAATGTTATCCTATCTCAAAAGGTCATCGGGATAGAGTGAGTTCTTTTGATCTCTTTCTTCTCGACTCTTTTCTTGTCGATAGGAAACTTGATTTTCCTACCATTGCATTAGGCCTCAAGAAACTTGTCCATTCCTTACACCACTTTAAAGCTTTACCCTACAGTATGCTTCTCATGAAATTTTTTAAACACTTTAACGTTTCTTTGAATAATGAGACATTTTTCCAACTTCGACCTACCGGCACTACAAATATTCAAATACTTAAACATGTGAAAATTACTAAAGAAGATGGTCAGTGGGTGGTACACGAACCCCACCTCAGATCCTTCGACTCTACCTTTGAGGGAGATGATAATGGTGATGATGATGACGTACCAGAAGCTCCTATTCCTCTTTACGATATTCTGGGCTCCAGTATCCTTCGATTTTCTAGCAGTGGCTTCACGTTTACCCAGGATCAGTACAACATGCTGAACGACTGCGTGATGCTCCATCAAATACAAGCTCAACAAGGCGCCATAGTAGTTCAACAGGAAGCCATTCAAGCATTGTAGGCAACGATGCATGCTCAGTAGAATGTCTTTTACGCCCATTTCTGTGCCCACTTCCCTCCTTTGGAGTCATACTCATAGATTTTGACAGATATTGTTTTATTTGCCTTACGATAAATAATTCCTTATGCTTTGTATTCCTCCTATGTTCTTTGTTTGATGTTGGATGTTTCTTGAATGTTTTTGGATATTATGCGTTTTCACTTGGATATATAATGCCATTATTTATGCCTATGGTTGTTTTCAGTACATGAATTCCCTATTTCGTATTCTTTTCACTTATGTTAAAAAGGGGAAACATATATACGATGATATGCATGCCTGGCCTGTATAAGAAAGGGAGAACAATATCATATGAATGCTTGATTTATAAAAGATATAATATTTTTCTTATTGCAAATCATATTTGTTTGTCATAATCAAAAAGGAAAAAAATGTTGACCTATGGTTGATCTTATATTTCGATTATAACAAACAAAGTAGTTTTACCTCTAACATTTGTATTTGAGTCTTCATTATTGCATATTGATCAAATTGGAGACAAAACAATTGCTATCACAGGACTTTAAATTGACGATCAAGAAAATTCAAAATGGATTTAAGTGTTCACAATCGGAGATAAATCGAGCACCCACACCAAATCAATCGAAGATATTAGAACTAGATGTTTGAGCTCATTTGTAAAGATAAAATACTTTAATCATTAACAATTAATTTAAGAAGTTTGCACAAAATTTATTTTCCAAAAGTACGAATTTCAATTTAATTTTCAAACATATTAGCATCACTTACCTTGAAAAATTAAGTAAAAATGTCATTTATAAGCTTACATTATTTCAAACAATCAAACAAGGAGACGAAAAATTTCAGTCCATCTGGATGTCCAGTTCATCTACAAGGGTCGATTTTTCTCCCGTTCTGACTTCTAATGAGCAAGGGCTAAATCAGTCATCCGAAACAGTATCAGACTTCCAGATGATCGTCCGGTTCACAAAGTTTTTAACATTTTTCAACTGTTACAAATACCAACCCACTTACCATTCATTACAAAATTCAAGAGCATTCAAATAAGATATATTTGAGCAAAATTATATAAATTTCTCATCTCATTTATTATCATCATATCATTTTAGCTTTGAAAAACTTTTGATCAAATTAATTTTTGAAAATCATTCTATATATCAAAATTTTACATATCTAACATTTGAACTTCATTTATTACTATCTATTAAAGTATTATTCTATCTCTCTCTTGGAACTTAATTTTGATCATCTCATTTATTAAGATAGAAGTTTCATTTGTAAAACCAACTTTTTTTAAAACTTGTGGGCCGTGTTGAGTTCCCGTAAAGTTCAACGGTGTATAAGGATCGATGCTCCTTATTTGTAAGTCACCATAAGTATTGTAAAGGGTTAGATTGTATTAACAGCAACAAAATATATGATGGAGGAAAACAAGGAATCATTGAAGATCAAGATAAATCATTGAAGATCAAGATGATTGATGATTATGATGATGTGCTTAATTTTAGGAATTGTCATTTATCTTTACATATTTAGTCTATTGAGTTGTACTATAAATTGATGGTTTCTCAATGAATAAAAACAACTCCCATTTCTATCTTCTTCATATTTTCTTCTTGGTATCAGAGCAGGTTTCGAGCTTCCGCTTCCGGCGAGCGGTCTAGTGCCGCTCGTCCAACCAACTTTTTCAATTTTCCTTTTCTTCTATTTTTTTAAAAAT